AAATATATCATTTTTTAAATACAAAACCGAATAGTTCAAGTCAAAATGAATAAAAAATGAGTCAAAGAATTCAATTTTTAGCACTTTGGTGGATTGTGCCTTCGTGTTAACTGTTTTCCCCACAAATTAAGCTCAATGTAATAGTATCATTTTGTAGAGCTTCAAAGCGCTATCGACTAATATTTAATTCAAGACTATTTGGGAAGTATGAAACTCAACTTCGATAGAGGGCCGATTTCATCGCTTAACTTCGAAGAGTTCTGCATTTCCTACTAAGCATTCTGAACATAGGACCAAAAGAAGTGCACCTAAGAAAATGTATGGACCTGTAGAGATCCGTACTTCACGGATTTACTACTTGGAAAACGTTCTCTTTAGCTTATTATCTAGAATCAGACTGATATAATATGATAGAATTCTATTTTGTACTATAAATGGATCGATTATCTAGATTATAGTTGTCTAAAATTATGGAATTGAAGCAATTATTGAAAAATGTTGATGTTGTTTCTTCAATGTTTGATGCCGAGATACATGATATTTGCACCGATTCTTCGCAATTAAAAGAAAATTCCTTATTTCTAATCACAGGCGAAGGTCGTCATAAAATTGTGCCATATGAAAACAATATGCTACAGTCAGCTATATTAAATCGCACTGGCTTCATTTTATGGGATTCGGAAAATTGGCCGAAGCCTGAGGATAGTAGAGAATCCCATCGTTACATCGCCGTTAAACACTACCGTAAATCTTGTGCTCAAATTTGTTCAAACTTTTATGGACAACCATCCAAGAATTTGCTAATGATCGGTGTCACAGGAACTAATGGAAAAACGTCAACCACTCTGATAATAGAACGAATATTGGAATTCTCGAAACTCTACCGACCGCTTCTTATTGGAACACTCTATGCTCGATGCTGTAGCGTCACGCTGCAAGCATCATATACAACACCGTATTGTGATATAATACAAAAGTTATTACGTACAGCAATTGATGAACATCAAGCAGATTCTGCGGTGATGGAAGTTTCTTCACGTGGTCTTGAGCAAGAGCGTGTTGGAGGTATTGCATTTGATATTAGTATTTATACAAATCTGACACATGATCATCTAAGCTATCATACTACTTTCGATGAATACAAGCGGATTAAAACGACTCTCTTCGAACATTTGACTAAATCCATTGCTATTATCAATCGTGATGATGATTATGCACAACACGTTATTGATAACACAAAGAAGACCGCAAGAGTGATGACATATGGAATTGCTCGAAATCATGACACAGATATCTACGCAAGTAACATTCAACTAAGTGTACATGGTTTGAACTTTGACATAAATATTCCAGCTACAAATATAACGGAACATATTCATATTCCATCTCTAGTCGGAAAAACCAATGTTTATAATTCGTTAGCTGCATTAGCTTGTGCACATTTGGCACTTAACATTCCATTGGATCTATGTAAGGATGCTCTAATATCCATGCCACCAATCCCAGGTCGTCTTGAGTTTATTACCATGCCAGAGGATCCGATTACAGTGATTATCGATTCTGCACATACCCCAGATGGCTTCAAAGAAATACTCAGCACAATCAGAGACTGTAGAATGAGTAATAATTTGCTCTGCTTATTTGGTTGTCGGGGTAATATGGATCATGCAAATCGTTCAATTAAGGCTACAATTGCTCACCAACTATCAGATAAAGTAATTGTTACAACTGATATGTCAGGATCCGAAGATCCGAAACAAATAATTCAAGATATTTTAGCAGGATTTTCTTCAACATCGAACAGTGATGATAATGTCATCATCGAAATTGACCGAAGAAAAGCAATCGAGAAAGCAATTTTGTCTGTTATGCAAGATGGTGATACATTAGTTATATTAGGTAAAAGACACGATATCAATCGAATGCTTCAAGACCGAATTATTGATTTTGATGATCGCATAATTGTGAGAGAATGTATTCAACAACGTATTCAGCGTAGTTTGTAATAAATAGATGCCATCTCTATACATATGTGTGCACAACTCGAGCATCCACATTCTAATTGCAAAATTTTCATTCATAACTTTCTATGCGGGTGTGACTGTTTCTTGCGAAAGTAGCTACAAAGACCGGTTCGATCCAGCTACCAGTCTGGTCAACTGTCTTAAATAATTTCTGTGTAGATCTTTGAACTAACTGGTGACCGCAAAGTTTTTGTGCCAAATGTTTACTCATTTTTGATATGCTAGTTAGTATATCCGACAAGCTAAAAGTTTTGATTTAGCACCAGAATTTTGTGTTTTTTTTTCAAATTCTGACTTAGAAATTTTGTCACAGTTTTAGTTCAAGAATAGTGAGCAACTTTTCGAAAGGTCTGAAAAATTGTCTTGCATCGTGAACTGATACGTTTTTGTCTATCTTGTAAGTCCCATTTGAAACATGCTAAAAACTGTCGGAGTCAATCGTTTTACCGAATGGACACCTTTATAGAATGTGAAATTGAGCTAAGCTATGGCTTCTACACAAGTGAAACTAAAAGTATCTTTTCGAAAGCTTGCTTCCAAAGTAATCATACTTGATGGTGCAGACACGTACATCAACTAATAACGGCGGATGTGGGTGTGGATAAGAAGATCTAATACCCACATCGACACCCAGTGGGATCTTGAATCTTCCAGTGATCTTACTCAAATCATGAATTAAGGGGGTTCCCTCTCAGGCAAAGTTAATTTTGGTCAAATTTATCAATTTTGTGGTTTATAGGTCTTTGGATAGAGCAAAATGTCTACTCTCGAATGCACTAAAGTTGATCGATTTTATGATAGGTATGGGGTGTGGGTGTCAAAGTTCTATTCAATAACAGTCACACCTACACCCCACACCCACACCCTGTGCGGTGTGGTGAACAGAAGATCGATACTCACACCATAGCTCGTATCCTGATGGTGGAAAGGGTGTGGATATGGGTGTCTGGGGTTGGTATGCGTATGAGGGTGTTGTGAAAATAGTATCATTTATCCACCCACACCCTTGTGGGTCTTTATCGTGCAGAGCCAAATTGGATTTGGATAATTTGAGACCGAATCCAAATCCAAATCCAAATCAAGATGAAAATCAAATCTGTTTGTTGTTAAGTGATTAATTTATTATTATCTTCCTCTCGCTAAATTTAAAGAAAATCTTATCCGCACAATCTCTACTGGGTGGAGGGGAGGGGAGGGAGGGGAGGGAGGGGAGGGAGGGGAGTGTGAATGGAAGAAAGTCTACGCCCACACCCTAGCCACAGCTACATCCACACCCGCACGCACCCACCTCATACCTACGCTCACAACCTAGCCACAGCTACATCCACACTCACATCCACACCCGCACCCACGCACCTCGCACTTACACCCACGCCCACCCCACATCCACCCACACCACACCCAAGACCTAAGAACAATGTGAGATATGGGGCTCAGTTTTGTCGTCTCTAACGCCCATGCCAACTTCCACTGCAACATACACACCCACACGTACATCCCGCTACAAAGAGAGGAGCAACTTGATTGGTTTTAACACACTCACGTTGCTTGTTTTTCGCTGAAAGTTAATGTCCTTGCACAAGAGAATTAAAATAGTTGTTTTCATTTGCGCAGAAAAAAATTCGATAAGAGAATGGAGAATGACACAACTTATTCGCTGTCGGGAATGGGTTTTTTCCAGCTTGCAAAATAACAGAACGCAATCAACGTATAGGTGAAGGGTGTGAGTGTTATTCTCTTGTATTCGACCTAATACCCACCCACACCCTTTTTTATATATTACTGTTCTTTGAGCGTCCCATTGCTACACAAAAAAATTTCAACTTTCTAGCTCCTACAGTCGCTGTGGAGTTATTAGTTTTACATTATCAAAAAAGAACCGTATTTACCATTAAGATGTATCGAAAATGGATATTTTCAAATAGATAGTTTTCATCCTTTTCCAAGAGCCATTTAAAGTGCTATAATAAATGACAAAAACAATTATCAAAATTAGACAATCCTTTTCTGTAGCATGGTTGAAACTTCGTGTAAATAATCTACACACGGTATGGTTCCATTCCATAGAATTTATCTCATGTGTTCTCAAATGATGAGACATACATTTGTTGAAAAATTTATGTGCCATGATTTTTTTCTTCAATCAGTGTTTATTTTTATTCGGAGCAAAACATGCAGATCATTAAGAAAAAAGTTATTGTCCATTCACATTGCTCGATCTCGATATAAATTCGATAATCAATGGTACATACTCTTTTAGAGCGATCTTCAACAAGTTATCGGCCACTGCCTCACTGTTACAATTCGAATTCCAGCATGAATAATCAATAGCATAAAGATCAGGATTGATAATATTATTACGATGTGACCAAGTTCTAAAAATCACCTGTGTAGAGTTAGGCATCATCATATATGGTGCGTTTATGCATAATCCATAACTAAATTGGCGTTTATTTCCATCAGGAGCCAATGAACTTTGCTTCTGTTCAACTCCAACTTGACAGATAGTAGAACATTCAGTTGTATTATTAGCAGATGTGTAACATTGACGAGATGGACCAGTTGGTTGATCGGACAGATAATCAATCACCCAACTACGAAGATGCAAGAAATCATTAACATCTCCATTAGCCCAGAGTTTTCTCGCAAAAACTAATTCACAACCGATCGCTTCACAATTATAAGTATATCTCGTTTCAATATCAGTATTTGTAATTTTGATCTGTCCGTAAAGTTGTGAGTAACCGTCCATTTTTTCTTCTGATTGTATAGTTTGTCGTTTTCCAATGAGTATAGACTTTTCCTGATAGACAGACAATGTTCGTGTCGAATGTGATACCACTAATACTATGTCACAGATATACGTCATATCGAAGGTTCCCTTTATACATTGATCAGTGTCGGGAAAAGGTTCATCCAATGAAACATTGAAGTGACAATTATCATAACATCCAAATGTACTGTAACCGTAAGTGAGACTAAAGGCAGAGAGAAATATAAGAAAGGTGACTGGCCACATAGCAAAAGTAATAAAATGAATGTTTTTGCCTCTTCTTTACTCTATATGTTAGCTAGAGTGAGAAACAGAGACAGATGTTTGGATTCGTTTGAAACACGTCGATGTAATTCAATCCTACAAATGCAAATCAGAGTGGATGATAGTGCAGATGACGGTGAATTAACGAAAAAAAAACGAATCATTGATGAAATAAAATCAAAGAAGAGTGTTGCGATCGGATTAATAGAAAAAGATCATTTTTCTAGTGACTTTTTGATGAATTTGAACTCGTTTTGATTAAGTTTTTCGGACAGAAAAGAATTGTTTGTTACAGCGCCTGTAGATACATATTTAAATGTTATTTTAATTATACTGAAGCGACATTAAGTTCGTTGTTATCAGTCGATGCATCTGCAAAGCTTCCGTATGGCACAACAAATGTCATAACACAATTGATGACTCCTGTTCCTACAGATAGAGACTAATTATCTGTTACGTAGCACCAAGCTAATGTATAGTTAATTTGAGGGTGTGGGTGTGGGGGATGGATGTGGGTATGGGTGTGAGTGTGGGTGTGTGGATGTGGATGTGTGGATGTGGGTGCATGGATGTGGGCGTGTTGATGTGGGTGTGAGTCTTAGATTCACCCACACCCTTTTCCTATTTTATAAGCAAGTTTTACTTTAATCTTTTCAGGATGTGTGGGCGTGGGGTTCGAGTGAGGAAGCTACTCTTTTGACCAATTAGACCCATCCATACTCATACCTACATCAACATCCTATCCTTTTATGTTTCAGCTATGGGACACATCCAATGCTGAGTCATCTTCAATTGAAGCAAGAGTCATTATTTATTGTTTTACCTTCGATTGATACGTTTGCTTTCAATCGATTCGATGCATTCTTATTTTACATCTACCCTACGTCTATCCATTCACTCCAATATTCATAGTACGATTAGAAAATTCTCCATCGATGCATAGAAATTTTTTCTTGGATTGAAAAATGTTATTATAATCTTGCATAGTTACCCATTATTGTTCAATGAGCGGTAAGTTCAGATTCTATTGTATAATTCGATTCTTTTCTTTTTTAAGTTCAACTTATCGAAAATATGCGAGGCTGACTCATCTTTAATTAAAAAGATGGTGGTGTTATATTTTTCTTTGTAGATACAAATATTTCCCATCGATTCCATTCAGCATTATTCAAGATGAAAATTACGTATGGTGATATTCTTTGATGTTCAGCTCTCGATCAAATATAAATTTATTGGTCAGTTGAAACATTTTCTCATCCGTTCACAATTTTCACTTTTTCTCCATATAGATACGAAATCACTACTGATAGCTAACACGTTCGCATTTATTTATGTGCTCCATATAGTTTTTTAATTCCAACTGTCGCACATGTTTCTTAGCGAGTTATCTTCAAATGTGACAATGTCTATTCTTTCTTCTTTTGTTTTAGCTACATGTGTCATCATTCCATTCATTCCGTATCTACGGTGAATTGACATCGCGTATTTCGATTTTCTTCTTTGTTCAATTATCGATCTAGTATTCAAATGCTGATGAGTTTAATTCTTTCCTTGCAATGACGAATTTCATCCTTTCTTTAACAGATCGACAATATCTATCCTTTAGGTTTTACAAATTTCGTTCCTTTTATAAAATCAACCCGATTTTTTTAATTTTTTAAGGTTCGAACTATTGAGCATGAGTGCTTATAACTCATTTTTCAATGAAACGATATTTTTTTTCTTCTTTGCTTTAAGTAGCATATGAACGGAATCGTTTCGGTTTCCTCGTATTCTAGATCAACTTCAAGTATGTCGATGTGCTTTTGTGTTGATTCCTTGATTGATTATTCATGTAATTGTGAGTTCAATTCTTCTTTTTTTGCCATGATGACAAAATTTCTCTCGTCTTATGTGAGTAGTCAACTTCTATTAATGACTGGTGAGTCTCTTTTCGTTATAAAAACTATACGAGTTCTATTTTTATTTAGACTCTATGTGCTCACAATGAGTTAGCCTTCGTTGGAATGATACTTGCTTCGTTTCGTTTTTCTTTTCAAGTAGATATACTTTTAATGGATTCGATTAGGTTTTTTTTCTAGATTGGATCCACATCTATCGGTTCACTCTGACACGCATTCTGTGGTCGGAAATTCCTCCATCGACGAGTAGGATTTTTTAGCTCGGATTGAAAAATATTACTATAATCTTGTATAGATATGTATCGTCGTTGAATGAGTGGTAAGTTCAGATTCTATTGTACATTCTGTACTATTTTGTTACTCTTTTTAGGTTCCAGTTGTAGAAGGTATGCAATAGTAAGTCAGCAATAACTAAAATAGTGACTGCCTCTCTGTATTATTGTAGGTCGTTTTTTTTTGAGTCCATTCGATTCTTTTTCTCACTATATTGATATAAAATATGTTAGCCCTCTTCGGTATCGGTTGCTCGACAAAGATTCATCTCTTGGTTAGTTGAAGTCACTCTCCTCATGTTCACAATTCTTGCCTCATTGTTATATAGGTGCACATCATATATTAGTTATTGGTGAGTTTGCATGTTTTTTTTATAAACGCGATAGTTTCATTTCTCCAAGTTTGAAGTTTGGGAATCTGTCTAGTAGTAAGTTCGATTCTACTAAAACAATATTTGTTAAATTTTGTTTCAGATGTATATGTTAGCATGATATATTAATAGTTCAATTTCTCGATCTACATAATGCATGTGGTGTTCTTTCATGTTCAAGTACGAATCAAAGACTGGTTTACTATCTAGTGAATTCGAATTGTTTTTCTTCGGTCACAATTTCCAGTTCCTTTTTTCAATACTTATTCTCACATGATTTGTCATTGACTTCAGATTATGTTATGCCTTTGATAGAGTTTGTTTACTTTTATTGGTGCGTTAGTCGAGAGTTTGTAGTTGCGGGTAACATTCAAGAAGAACTATGATTGTTTGTCTTAATGCTTGTGTTTAAGGAAAGAATTTTTTTCGAGCTTGCTGTGAGCTTTCGCTTTATCAACAATAATTCCGTCTTTCCCTTCGCCTTCTGAAGAGTCCGATTCAGATCGCTTTTTTTCCTGTACAGTTAAGATGAAATTGATTGATTAATGTGTGAATTAGAGAGTAGTATTACCTTCTGAAGATGATATACAAGTCATCCATGTTTCCATTGGTTTGAAAATTGAGTGTATCGGCTTTTTGTAGTTTTGTATTCTCATGTGATCTGATTATTGAGTGGTTTTCATGCTCAGTGATTGGTTTCCTGCTTTGATTCTTGTTTTAGATTCGATTGGTCTCTTACAGAGTAATATAAGATTTTTCCGTTCGAGCTTGGGTTAAATTATTCTTCTTGTTTTTTGTTGAGCGTTAAATGACTGTAGTCATAAATGGTATACTTTTGCTTCTTCTATTAGACTCTTACCGTCGATCTCATTTGCGCTAAGTAACTCCGTTGTTTCAGTTTCTGTTGGTTGTTCTTGCTTTCAGTGTTTTATCCAGGATTTCTGGGTATGTTATATCTCAGATTCGGAGCATGGGACCAAGATAAAACTTATGGGAGATCGTATTAGAGCTAAATGATGAGGTTTTATAAAAAAACATTTTGTGACTAGAGTTTGCGAAAGAGAATAGTTTTTTTGCTTTCTTCCGAAATTTTTTTTAACCTTTTGTAGTATTCATACTTTTAAAATTCCATAGTAAGCTACATCAAATTTCATCGACAGATTTCAAATTTCATCTAAAAAAAAGCATTTCTTCAGGAGTTATAAGGTTTTGAAATTTTGTCATGGGTGTGGGTGTGAGAGAATAAAAGATTCCACCCCACACCCACACCCTCATCCATTTCCATTCACCGAGAATGCTAGACCACTTTTTTTTTTCTTCAGTTTCTTCTGTTTACTTTTTCTTCCAACTTGATGCTGGTCTCTGAAGAACAGAAAGTTTCAAGTGCGTAACGATTATTTTTTCAGCGCGCAAAAAAAAACAACAAGAGACAACAGAAGAAACTCTCTGAATACTTATTTTCTTGCTGCAAATGAATGTTGTCAATCATTCTTTACTTTTCATTTTGTTGGCTTTAACGCATATGAGACTGCCCATTCATTCAGAGTAATCAAGGTAGGACGATATAATTTTTATTCGTTTCTCATTTTTCAGCATTTCTTTACAATCATCAAATCTAAAATGTTTTGGGACACTGCCGATTGTCATACTTTATGATCAAATAATAACATTGCAGGTAAAACACTTCTTTGTGAAAAATGCAATAGAAATCAAACTGAGTAAAACACTAAGATGTCTATTCATGCAGTTCAGTTTTTGTTGCCATTAATAACGAATTGAAGATATATAAGAAGACAATAATGCTCAACCCAGGTTTTAGCTAACAAAAGTTCAAGCAAGTCACTCTTCAACAGACTTGGACAAGTCGAAAAATAGAAACGACTGTCATATATATTCCACCCACAGATTCTCCTAACGAAGCATGAAAGGTACCTCCTAGGTATGCACCAGTTCCAGTCATGACTGGTGAACTGGGTACCAGTCATGACTGGGTACCCAGTCATGACTGGTACCCAGTCCGACTGATACCCAGTCATGACTGGTACCCAGTCCGACTGGTACCCAGTCATGACTGGGTACCCAGTCACGACTGGTAGCAGTCATGACTGGGTCATCAATCATTTAATCTTTAATTTATAACATGCATAATATCTCCCTCTTTCTTATAATATTATAATAAACTCATCATAACCTATTAGAGCACTAATACGAGTTATATCATAGAATTAATAATCAATTATTTCCATGATATGAGTCGTATTAGCTCTTTAATAGGTTAAGATGAGTTTATGATAATCTGATAAGAAAGAGGGAGGTATTATTCATGTTATAAATTAAAGATAAAATGATTGATGGCCCAGTCATGACTGCTACCAGTCGTGACTGGGTACCCAGTCATGACTGGGTACCAATCAGACTGGGTACCAGTCATGACTGGGTACCCAGTCCGACTGGGTACCAGTCATGACTGGGTACCCAGTCCGACTGGACTGGTGCATACCTAGTACCTCCATTTGCATAAATGTTCTGAAGTAAAATCTCAAGAATTCCAGTTCACGAGCTTGTTTCACACTGCCAAACAAGATATTTACTTTAATATTCAAATCGAACGAGTGCTAGCAATTCACTGATGCCTCAATGGCTACAGTCGGTAACCACACACCACCACACAAAAATTCAGCAACAACACATTTTAGCAAAGGGTGTGGGTGTTATTGTGGGTGTGGTTGTGGGTACCGACATCACGAGAAGTCTCGCACCCACACCCACACCCACCCACACCCACACCCACACCCACCCACACCCACACCCACACCCACACCCACCCACACCCACACCCACACCCACACCCACACCCACACACCCACACCCACACCCACACACCCACACCCACACCCACACACACACCCACCCTTTCTTTTACGAAAAAGCACTTGGATTCATGGAAATAACTCTTCCTTTAAATCCTAATGATTTGACTACTTCCTACGACAGCGACACGGAAGAAAATGACAAAATGGAACAGAACTTGGAAGTACTTGCAGTTTATGAAGAAGCACTTGAAATTCAACAAGAAACTCTTCTTCCAGATTATGCTCATTTAGTTAACTGTTATGATAACATCGCTAGAATCTATGAAAACACCAAAGAACATTCAAAAGCACTTTTATTTTACCAAAAAGCACTCGAAATTTGTCAAAAAAATCTTCCTCTAAATCATTCTAATGTGGCGGCTTTGTACAATAACATCGCTGGAGTGTATTACACAATGAAAGAGTATTCAAAAGCATCCTCACAACTTGAATATGCTTTAAACATTTTGAAAATCTTAGTACCTAAAGATGATTCTAATATTAAAATTGTTCAAAATAATATCGATTATATTAAAAAGAAACGATAAGTTTAGTTTAATAAATCAAATATTTTTATTTTATTGAATCGTCATCACGTATAAACCAATAGTGTGGAAGTCATGAAAGTGTGTCAAACACAGGCGACTAATCCTCATAGAGATGTTTACATTTTTCTCGCAACTACGAAACTTTTCTTTTCTAGCAAAGTAAAGAAATTGATATTACCATCAAGTGTATGGAACTAAAATAACTTACAATACTGGACAAAATTATTTGCACGATTTCGCTTTGCGTATAACTATTTCATAAAGTTAAGTTTTAAGGCGCGGGTGTGGGATGTGAGTGTGGGTGGATGTGGGGTGTGGGCGGATGTGGGGTGTGGGTGTGAGTGTGGGTGTGGGTGTGCGGGCTGTGAGTGTCGATGGAAGTGAACATTCACCTCAACACCGACACCCACACCCACACCATCAATCATTTAGCCTAAGTTACCAAAAATCCTTCGTTTGATTTTCTATATACTTATTGAAAATCATGAAAGAGCATGTAACTTTATTATTTCTGTCTGTTGATTTTTGCTCAAACATTTTTTTGTGCAAGTTACTCGGAAAAAAAACGCTTAAATAATAAATATCAGTTTTAAACAAGAGTTAACGATTTTAGTCCTTGAAAACTCATATGATTAAAACAAGAAACTCGAGCACCGTATTAATAGTTTGAAACAGTGTCAAAACGGCTAGCATGTATGAGGATCATTCCCACCACAAAAATCGGCGGTAACGATATGAAAAACTCTGATTTGAATCCATATCGTTATCCTGCTTTCTGAGCTCGGCGGATAATTAATCATGTCCGGTCGTTTTGTCGAACTTGGTTTTGACCAGCAGCGGCAGTGGATTCTCATGCGAGAAACGTTCACATCCGAAAATTTTCAAAAATAGCATATCCAGAGAAAAACTCGCCGAATTTTTCTATCAGCTTTCTCCTGCCGTGACGTGTAGCTAGATACGTTACGAAAATAAGTAGAGACATTCAATGCTTTTCAGTCTAGAATATTCCTTGCAAGATCTAGTCATTTCCATAGAGTTCCAGTCAGATCTAGCCTGTAAGCTTCGACACATAATCATCACCCTCAACATTGTGTTATATTTAGATAGAGCAAGCTAAACGTCTTTTTATCGCACGATATAAATATTTGGAATCAAAGAAAAAATTAATCGAATTAAAAGAACGAAGTCTATGTAAAAAATCAACAAAATCGATGATTTCTACGTCATCGATAACGATGTCAACGACAACATCCACCATTGCTCCTATGATAATGGATGAAAAAACTTATCAACAACAACAACGAAAAGATCAACAAGAATCAGTAACCGATTCTATGATCACATTAATAATTCAAGCAGAAGATACCATTTATGAATATCAACAATTATTTCATGAAGAAATGCGTCAACTATTTGTTAATGAGCAAAATGAAAATAAAGGATCAACATAGAAATTAGCTGATCCTATCGATGAACGTTTGAAAATTACCGAGAAAAAGCTATATTGCATCTATAATTTTAGAAATAAATATTATTTACGAACTCGTTATGGTGATTTCGAGGATAAAATAAATAGAGTGATGATTAGTTATTCACCAACAATGATCATTCAAACATCATCACATCAATTAATAGATGAACAAATAAAACTTTTAAATCGTGATCCAACTTATGTTCCACCATGTCAAATATATGTATCTTCATCATTTATATCCATGAATGATGTGACTCAAAAACAATATAAACTATTACAACATCATCTAAGTATTCTATTTGCAAAACATAATACTAATACATCAGAAGGAATGTTTATCAATAAAGACATTAAAGACACATTTATCAATTATTTTTCTCTTCCATTACCATTATCTCTTTATCAACGTGTTCTTCATGAAAAACAATTAGTAGAATCAATTCGAGAACATTTACAAATGAATAATCTCATTTTAAGACGAACAGCTGATGAAACAAATGTTTTCTATCTTGAAAATCAGAAAGATTTTGATGAAAAGCAAATGAATTTATGACCAAAACGGATGCTTTTGAAGTTACTGAAATAATCGATGATAATAACCTTCCACAAACACATGAATATTTAACCAAAATAATCAAATCGATGAATATTGAGGTGACAAAAATTTTTATTCATAAGAAAAAAATTACTATAAAGATTTATTAAAGAAATTATATATTGATGAGACAGAAGTTCAACTACCTTATTTGTATTTTTTCCCTGATGTCTCTAAAGTAAAGTATTATCTTTTGTTTTTATCCTTATATATATATATATATATACATCATTGTTTTTATTCATTTAGAAAAATACACTAACAGTAAAACCAATCATTGTATCACAATGCAGTGCAACATCTCGAATAGCACAGTTTTTGGATCGTCTAATTCGACCAGTAGTCGAACGTAGTACAAATTCAACGACATTTATGAATGGAGCTGATTTTATGAGAAAATTAAACAGATATGTTGACGACGAACATCGTCTTCAACCAAAAACAAATTATATAACAATGAAAATTTCCAATTATTATACAATGGTATCAAATGCAGCCATGCTTGTTGTACTTGAAGACTATTTAAATCATAATCTGGCTTTGCCAGTTATAGATGGTACACCGATTCAAAAAATTGTTAATTTAACTGCTGTATTTCTAAATAATAATCATTTTTATTATGACAATAAAATCTATCGATTTATAAGAGGTAGTCCAACTAGTTTATCATTTAGTGAAACATTATGTCGAACTTATTCATATCATTCGCAAAGAATATTATTAAATGAAGCTCTCGCACGATATGAATGTTATGGCCAGTAACAGTGTTTATTTTTCTATTATGAAATCTTATATTATTATTATTTTTGTAAAATTTAGATGTAAAGATCAAATATTTTGTACATAGAATGAAACAGCTGCTAAATTTCAACAAGTTCTTCAATGTCTTCGTACTAAATATCCAAATGTTGCACTAGAAGTAAACATCGGTTTTAAATGTCAATTCTTACATGCACATATAGAAAATCTAAATGGTACACTATATAGTCGTGCCTATCATGATCCGAATATTCAAAAATACACATTACCCTATGTGATTGGTGATTCAACAGCAGCACATAGTCATTGGTTTCGATCAGCTCTCATTCGGGCTCTTCGTTATTATACATCTGTTTATGATTTTGATTAAGAACGAATCTATCTCGAAATAAATTGTTTAACAGATGATTATTCATTAGAATTTATTGAAAGTCGAATCAATCACTTTTTTATTCATTTTGATGCTACATCTCTTCGTTTATCATTGGATCAAAAAATTTACGATAAACTTCGTCATCGATTATTTAACTTTATTAGTGAACAACATCTTTTATTTAATACAGATCAAGAATTAACAATGAACAACCGACGAATTCAATTGTCTTATCTATATCAATTCGGTCTAAAACATCAGTTTAATAGAAAATTAAAAGAAATTTTGCATTCAAAAATACGCATACCTGTAAGAACAGCATTCGAAAATAATAAATTAAAAATCATTTTAACAACGAAACAATAATATTCATTAAATGTTTTATTAAGTCAACAAAACCATTTCATAACTTATTATTTAAAGAGACAATCACTTTCTAATGTAAATTTCTATTCATTTTTAGTTGTTTACATTGCTCTATTTCATCATAGAAGTTTATCGTTTCTTTGAATATATATGAAATATTTTTAGTTCCTGTTTTTTGTCAACATAAAAATCACAATTTTGGAATGGATAAACATTGATTATAACCTACTTCTATTTTGTTGTGTTTAAAAAAATCAATTTGTATTTTCTTTCATATTATATTGTAACGGGTGGCGCAGGATAAATTATACTGTTAGTATTTTTAAAATTTCTTCTCTATTATACCCATGATGGAAACACATTTTATTATCAAAAAAGAGCGCTTGAAATTCTCTACAAAACTAGATATGACTAGGCCTGAAATCTATTTTAGATATATTTGAAAAAAGATGAAATATAAACGCATATAGAAAGGTGTAAAAATTAACGCGGTCGAGAATAATGAATGATCACAACTTACACTTCATTTATATCACTTTGCAGTAGTAGAAAAACAAAATACACCAAAAGATGCAGTGTGAAAAGCTCTACAATTTACATAAGATTGCTTACTTTATGGTTGCACTATTTGTTTTTAAAACAGACAATATTTTGAGTGATCAAATTTTGACCGTGTCAAAACGAGCCCTTGTTTTTGTTCAAGATGAATTCGGTTTTTCTTATTTCATCTTGTTATTACTTGATATGTTGTATTTAAAAAAAAGGAAAATACACTACAAGATACTGCGAGAAAAGCTCTAAAATTTACAAAGAACAACTCCAGAAAAGTGAAATAAGTGAAAAACAAATTCATTTTGTAAGAAAAAGAAACATAATTTTCCCGTCATCAAAATTGGAACCGTTAAAATATTGTCGATCTTGAAAACAAAAAGTGCAATTATAAAGTAAGTCCATTTATGTAAATGGTAGAGATTTTCGCGCTGCATCTTTTAGTATATTTTCCTTTTTCAATAGGACGAATTATATGATAAAAAATTGAGATGCAAAATGTGATCAATCATCATGCTCAAGCACGTTAATATTTACATCTCGTTGTATGTCTTTACGTTTCATCTTTTTACAAATATATCTAAAATAGATTTCGGACCTAGTCATATATGGTTTTGTAGAGAATTTCAAGCACTCTTTTTTGAGAGTGTGGGTGTAGGTGTGAGTGTGGATGTATGTGTGGGTGGGGTGTGGGTGTGAGTATACAGAAAATGGATACTTACACCCACACTCACCCACATCGCCATCGAATTTCGAGAAAATTAATAATAATTGATTTACTGCATCATCATGTTCAGCAATCGACACTGAAATAATTTTTTTTCTGGTTGAATAAGATTATATACATAGGATCTAATTCATCTTTAAGCACAGATAGCACACTGATTGAACATCGATTGTATCTGGTAAAGATATTATCGTCATATATACTCAAATCAGTAGATGAAGGGTGTGGGTGTGGGTGTGGGGTGTGGGTGTGGATGTCCTTCTCATCAACATCCACCCACCCACACCCACACCCACACCCCACACCCACACACCCACACCCACACCCACCCACACCCACACACCCACACCCAGCCACACCCACACCCATATTCACTAAATACAGCTCACTGACTTATTATTTGAACTGATATGATGAAAAAAATTTTATAAAACAAAGCATCGATATAAGAAATGTTGAATGTAGAGATACGTATGTCATGATTGGATATAAAAAATTACTGTTATGATACACATACCACAGAGAAGCAAACATTGGTACAGCAACGATGGATTTAGAGGAACAAATAGACGTTCGTTCCTTTCTTCGAGAAATTTTTTCCTTTTTTTTCTTTCAAGCAGAAATAACGAAGAACGAGTTCTTGCTAAATGAACAGGCCTTGAAAAGTGATATTTTACTATGACTTGCTCTCTTCGCATCTTCAACGACCTAGCCCTTCTCCTAGCTTTCTAAGAGAATAGATCTACTTTTGAGATACATATATGGGTCAATCAGAAGAAAAACTTTAAAATTCTCCATTTTAACAATCTCTTCTTTCGATATTATTACGTTGAAATGTTAGTTGGAAAAACAAAATTGATCTATTAGTTATGTATTCAATAAAACTATTAGCAATCATACATTATTTCTTTTTCAGAAACAAAAAAGAAGAAAGAGGATGTGGGATGTGAGTGTTTCTTCTATTTTATTATACCCACACCCACACCCAAATTTTGTTTACAAATTTTGTCTGAAATTCATGATAAAATCAAATGGCTTAATCTTGAATCATCATCCATGAAACATGTTTTATGTGATACAATTAAATCCAATTGTCATTTATTCTATACAAATGAAAGATTTATCAAACTTATTCATATAAATGACTAGATCATTGAATATATTCATATTACTTGCATAGGTTTTTTTGTTACTAATATTGTATATATATTTAGATGAAACGCTTTCATCGAATGTTTTCAATAATCAGATTACAATACTATTTATTACAATTGATAATAATAAGGAGACGAGATTGACAGTGGTAAACATATGCGATTATATCTTGACTGTTTTCACCAGTCTAATTTATTTATCATTACATGAATCATCGTATAGAAATCGTCTTTGATTATACTTTGATGATCCACCTCCTCCTACTTTTCATTCTTCAACTCTTCAGAAATTGAATATCAAGATTCGATGTTTTGATGATTGTCTTTATCTTCTCGATGGTCGTTTTAATCAACTTAACGCGATCTTTGTTGATTTGCTTAGTATTCAACGTCCAGAGGAAATTCATAATCAAGTTAGTTTTACAAGAAAAATCTCTATGCTGTCAAATAACAAAAGAAATATTGTTTTTTTTTAGAGCGATTCACCAAATCTAAAATGTTTTTCTCTGTCCTGTGATTATGAAACAAATTATTACGATGAATTAACCCTTCCACTTCTCTATCGAATGTCAAATCTAGAACAACTTGGTTTATATATTGCGATCTTTGTTGATAAAACATTTATTGATGGAAACAATTTGAAGAGAAACATTATTAATCGTATGCCACGATTAAGCCAATTTAGATTCCATATTCGCTCACTCATGTTGATTCATAATCAAGTGAATTTACCATCAACAGAAGGTAGTCAATGCACATTCATTGACTTTTCAAATAATAATATAATTTCTTATGTTAATTATTTTCCAGAGGCAAGAAAAGGTCAATGCCACATTTACTCATATCCATCTCGCATGTAATATTATAGTGGTATTACAAATAATTTTCCTGGTGGATTATATACATATGTTCGTGTAGTGTTATTATTGGATGTACATCCTTTTGAACATGAATTTTTTCTCCGAATTCAGAAATCATTTCCATTTATGGAACAGTTGAGTTTGATTAATCATAAATCACAAAATCGCAAACAATCTTATGAATTAAACAATGATAATCGAAATTTATCTGTTATTCGAAACTCTTTTCTTAATGTACTTGATATTGTCGAGGTCGATGATGATTATATAGAACAATTTCTATTTGATACTAAAACGCATTTGCAAAATAATGTTCTTCTTTATATCAATTACAAATCTTTCAAACGAGTAACACACAATTTCACAAGAGATGCTACACGAATTAATTGTACCAAAATAAATAAATTAATACTATTTGGTGAAATAGAACATTCGAATTCTTCTTTACGAGAATATTTTCCTTATGCAAAAATATGTAATCTAGGAAGATTTTGAAAGACTAAAAAATCAAGTATTAAATTAAAGACAAATAGAATAAAATAAGAGAAAACTGTTTTGTGTATTGTTGTAAGAAAAAAGAAAATCTACATAGAGATGAAAATGATCACGTGTCCTAAGTAGCAATCTATGAAATAAATTAATTTTGGTTAAACATATACATGTGTATAAAATACGGAGTTGGAGCATATATTCTGCAAGTTTTTTTTTGTGTCGTAATGTGCTGATAATTATTCAGAACAATATAATCAAATAATAAGATTCTTAAATTTTATTCGAAATCAATAAAAATAATGATAAATAACGAGTAACATCTCTGATCTCACTTAGTTCAATCCTCAAAAGCAGAGTATAAGAGAAATAATACTGTACTCTGCTAAAAACATTGGTAGAGATCACTTGATAGTTTTCGATGCTCGTTGTCGTGATCGATCGCTCCATGAAAACACTAAACCTTTCCCTTCAAACTTCTTTCAAAAGCATCTCTCATTTAAAACTACCGAAGAAGCTCCTTGTCAATCATCACCACTAATTGGAGCAGCCATTATCGACTGGTTACTTGTATATCAAACTTGTGTACAATCGTAACTAACATATTACAGCATACTATACTAAGTTCCTCGTTTTAGATTCTCATTACAATGCAATCTAAATATTCGAAATTACTTTTCTATTTTCTTAAAGAAAAAATTACTGATGAGGTAAAGTTAAAATTAAATGTCATATTGCATAAAATGTGATCAATAAAACCAAGCTTAGATCCGAGACTCAGTTTCCAACTTCTCGATTACTAGCATCTTATCATTATTTCTAAATCTACTACTCTGTTGTTGGACTAATACTCTCATTTTCATTGATATTTCTACAATTTTATTTTCAAAATTAACGGCAACAAGTAATGTACATCGATGCAAATCGCTTAATTCTCGGCCGTATCTGACATGTTGATCTCTCTTGACTAGTCTTTTTCTTTTAATTCTTTTATTAGATGCACGTGAGATTAAAATAATAGTCAATTTTGGGAAACTTAATTATCCTATAGGAGTGAAAGATAACAGCTAAAGAAATCAGAATATGTTGCCATTTAGTTCACTATTTTCTTACCAAAATTATGATACATAACGATTTTCAAAGCATTACCTATTGTTCTTTGATTAGCTAACATATTATTTCGAAACGGTTTTTGTAGACTAGTGGCACTAGACATGCTTATGGAGTTAAGTTTATTCGAGTGCACAAACTTCCTAGCATATTGATGCCCTTAGAAAAATGGTTTTCGAATGCAGTTTACACACTACCAAAAATTAGATTCGATGAAACATAGTTATATTGAATTGGAGACTTACGAGAAAACTGGAAACTGAGCAGTTCTTCCAACCTTCTAAAGGTTAACGCTCTTCTCTCATGCGTTTGAAAAGCTTTCGGTATTCTTACACAGAACGCATAAATATCCTCTCATACCTATTCACTCGTTCATCACTCTTTACTCTTAATGAGAAAAAAAGAAAAAAAATCGTTCGAATGAAAATTTCCATTGTATCAATTGATTTCTAATCAATGTCTTTCGACGAGAACTAATTATTTCAGAAGGATTCCATTTTCAATAGTCTACTTTTCAAATCTAATTCATTTGATGAATATTGAAATTTGATCTGAGTGATTGATGGGTGTGGGTGTGGGTGTGAGTATTTCAGTTCATTAGAGATCCGCACTCACAACCACACCCAGGCCCCACACCCACACCCCACACCGACAACCACATCTACACCCCACACCCACACCCTCAGGGACTAGTCAAAAAATGAGTTTAATGAAAACATCCTTTAAATAGTGGAAAATAAGTTCTGAGCTTATAAAAAGGTTAATAGTAGGCAAAAGGACATAAAACTGTGCAATAAATAAGCAATAAAATTGGTATCTTAATTACACTCATTTTTGACTGGTTGCTGAGGGGGACTCCAGGTCAATTTTTTCGAGAATAAAAAATTTCGCAGAAGAACTTTGAAACATATATAAGTCCACTTAGTTTTTAATGCTGATTCCAAATATGTTATTAGTTTCGACCAAAAACGTACTTTTTCTGATTGAACTGTGTCAATACTAGTCAAAAACTAGAAAAACTGGTTTCTAAACAAAAGTCACACTGTCTTATTTAACAAAGTTCACTTTAAAAAAAAACAAAAAGTATATAGTTTTGTAGCCCTTTCTTCGATGTTTCAGAATCAATCGAAAGCCCATTGGATTTTTATTCCTTTCTCCAGATATTAAGAAAACTGTGAATAGAAGTGATAATATAATTTCCTGATTCTCATGCTTATACGAAACAAATTTGACATCGCAACTCAGGAGCAGTTCAACCATTTGAACTGAAATTTTTACCATAGATAGACTAGAAAACGGATAATCGGTTGATGTACTTTTCGGTTTAAAATGTCTTTCTACGAAAAAATTCATACAGTGCACTGTTTCACGTATGAATTACCCATTTATGGTTAAAAAAGTGAATATCAATATTTTGAGCAACAATGGATCTAAATCCTTCAAAAACAGCTTTATTTCGTTATCAAACTGTTCCTCGTGAAATTCTGCACAACGAAAGTCATGAATAAAGGGAAGCTGAGGATGGCCCAAGAAAGGCCCTTATACGCTCCCATTCTTTGTTTTCACAATAACTATATTTACAAAATAAGAGAAAAACAGCAATTTTGGATACTTGTCAATTGACCACATGTTCACTGTTTTCAAGTTTTTCTTTCTACAAATGAATATGATAAAAAATGAATATATAGAATGATAGAGAACTTCATCTTGCATTGCAATCTATAATTGCTTTTTAAGAAAGGAAATTTCGATCACAGTAACAAAATAAATTCTATGAAAATCTAGACATGAAAGTGCTTTCATTGCACTCAATTAATTTGGTAATGAACTAGTGCTAAATAAAACATAAATATATAAGATGATAGAAAATTTCGCTTGTTTCAAAATAAGTAATTAGTTTTTCAAAAAATTTATTTTTATTGTGACAATATATGAGGAATACAAAATCTAACTATTTTTTTTTCCGATGATATATAACAAGTAGATAAAACAAGTCCTAAGCAAATAAGTTTTTACCACCATAAATGTAAATCACCCCAAATGTATTTAATAGAGTAATTGTTAAGTAAATTGTCTAATTTAATTAAATCGTCTACTTCTTTTAACCAATTCTTTTGAGAATGTGAAATACATAAATAAAATAAATGTTGTGTTCTATTATGGATTTTTGATAATAAATATCGAATTATTGGTTGAATTTCTGTTTCTGTGATATCTGTTTTAAGGTATTTTAATTTTGAAAATATATAAACAACGAATTGAATTCGATTCAATGAACATTTACCATGAACGACTAAATTTTCGATTTTATTTTCCGTTAATGTATATTGAAAAGGTACATTTTGTTGAATGACATTTGAATCAATTGCCCACATGGGGCTTTCACCAAATTCTAATGTGTGTAAATTCGGTGTTAAACGTAACAATTTAATAATATGCTCGAATGTAAAACCAAAAGTTATAATAACTAATTTTGTAAGTTGTGTTAAAGAAACCATATGATTAAGATTTGTTATAAATGAATCACCATCTGATATTTCACAAAGATGGTCAATAGTTAATCGATTAACACTTGAAAAATATCTTCGACAATTGGATTTTAAATCATTTCGAATATGAAGATGCTCGATTGAATTTAGATTTTCTTGTTGATGATGTAAACCCAATAGTTCATCTATTTTTCAATGAAACTTATAATCTTTTCTTCTAAATAAAAATGAAATAAAGAATAATCTATGATGAAAAATGAATGATTACTTTCAATGGAATGAAAATATTCTCTTTTTACAGAATGATTGTTTAAAGTTTTTTTTTGTTTAAAACAATTATACAATTTGAAACTAGAAAATCTTTCTTTCAACAGTTTTTTTATCAAAGAAAAATAAGATTCGGCATCACTGTTCTATCTCTTTCGTATCATAGATTAATTTCTATTTACCGATATAGACCAGACGAATATATAACTCCACCAATAGATTGATCGTTCCATTCATATTGATTTACAAAAAAACATTTATTTTTAATCCAAAAAGAAGAATTAAATTCAGTAACAGCATCATGACATGAAATATCATATTCTAGAAAATCTTGACAATTAATATCAAACACACGTAAATATGGCATATGATATACGATTAATTTTTGCCATCGTTGAGTATCTAAATATGCACCTGTATAATATGTCGCTAAATGTAAAATTTGCACATGATGAAAAAACTCTTTGATAATTTTCTCAAATTCATCAAAATGTATTATGCTAATATAAATAGAAACATGCCGTAAACATTTTAATTGAACAGGAGATAATTGATATTCGATGTGAATATCACCAAATAAATGAAGAGAATCAATTGATAAATGTTAAAGTTTAGGAAGAAAATGTAACAAATTATGAAATGCTTTAAATGGAAAAGGACTATTGATTATTAAATATTCTATTGGACTAGAAACATATTCAGTAAAAGAATAAAATAATTCTGTATAAAATTGTATATCATATTTAATTTTACAATATTTTAATTTTGATAAACGAAATATTTGAGCAAAAAGATAATCTATTTCCAAAATAGGTTCGACAAAAGATATAATTAATGAATGAAGATTAGGTAAGTTCATAAAATAAGTAAAGAATTTGTAAAAACTAATAGTTTCTATATTATCTATAATCAATGTTTCAAGATGAACAAAATTTAAAATATGATCTAGTGGTGAGAAAATAATATCAGCCGCAAATGGACTTAATAAACCAAGAAAATTAATTCGATTTCGATAATAATCTTCGAAATTTGATTTTGATATTGTTGAAATATTGATTTTAGTTAAAACATTTGAATTAATAGCTAAATTTTGAAATCGTTTATTAAGATTATAAAAACCTTTATAAATATCATATGAATCAAGATATTCAAATATTTCATAAAGAATTTCATTGGCTAAATCTTCCAAAAGATATCTATATGAAAATAAAGAATTATTATTTATATGATAAAAAAAGAAATATACCTAACTTGTTTGAATTGATCATTTTTACTGAAATTACAAAAAGACAAAAATTAAATATAATATATATTAACGTGAAATATTACTTTGATTTTCTAATTTTCGTTTTTTATTACTATTTAAAATTTGAACTAGGTCATTGTCTTGCTGTTTCGTTCGTTTCATAATTAATATAGTTGAACAATGATGATATTGATCGAGAATGTCGTTTTTCCGTCGCCCATGACTTTATATACATGTGCAACAATAAAAAACAGCCTTTTTCTTTTCGGCGAATATTGAACAGACAAGCTGCGCCGACGATGATTTTGTTTTTGTTTCATTGGGTCACATTGACGATTCGTCGTTGACACAAGATACACCTTTCTGGTGGAAAAGAAAACTGATTTTATGATAGCTACAATAGCTTTACTATGGCAATATAAGAACAAATGATTATTGAAGAGCCATTCGAACTTTATTTATATATTTTAGATGTCTTTGATATTGCAGAACATCCAGATTCCTCACTATGATAAATATTTTACAAATTCATCTCGACAAAAAATATTTTCTTCCCGAGATATTCAAATTTTGAAAAATAGAAAAATTCTCACATTCTTCATGAGATATTAGTTATCTTTGGATTTCTTGTACTTCAGGTAAGAAAGCTTCTCAGCTTATCTTTCTCCCTGACAGATCTGTTTATATTCTAATAGTTTTAGTTCGAAAAACCATTATTCAGTTTGGTAAGAAATACTCCACATCATAGACTTTAGTCGCACTATAACATCTACAAATCTCAACAGTAGGTTTAAAGAAATGTATCCTTTTAAGATTTTCATATCTCAATGAGACCTACCTGATGTACAAGATCTGAGTATGATAGTCTGAGTATCAGCTAGAATTAAAGTGTATCTCTAGGCAAAGTCAACGTTGCTATCATATTCACACTGATATTACTTTTTGCAACCTCAAAATATCTAATATATGCCACAGAACGTTATATGTTTTAGTTGGCATACTAAACAATAATAATTTTCATGATATTTTTCCTGTTAGGACTATTTTCACAACATTTTTGATGTAATGAACTTCTTAATTTTTGTTTAGTAATTAACAGATTCTATTATCACACCGTGAATTGAAAATTAGACAATCAGAATACTTAGAATTAACGTAAAAAAGCAATATACCGGAAAACCTATTTTACCCAACAAAAATCTTGAAAGACTCACAATAAAATAGTTTGATATGAGATGATAAAATCAAAATCTAGCATAGAAAAAACACAACAAAGTAAGAATATTCTAAAACATTGATACCATTTTTCGACGAAAATCAATAAAATAATATTGTCGAATTTGTTTCATTGTATTCAATCCAAAAATATGACAAACAACATTGTATAAAGATCTTGATAACAACTTATGGTTGTGCTTCCAGCAGATCATGGAATATAATGTCTGTCGGTGCATGTACTCTACCAATGATGTGGTGTAGCAATACAGAAACTCGAATAATTCCGAATCAATATCGAGGCAAAATCAACGAAATGAGAATTTATTCGCGAGAATTAACAATTGTTGAAGTTAATGCATTAGTCAATGTCTAGTGTGTTGTATTAATCTTTTTGTTCACTACTACTATACATTTGCTTCTACACTGAAGAGTTAAATCAGCACAATATAGTTTTATAGCTTACGTTCATTAAATTAAGACTCGATATATCACACGTCATATACTCGTCGTGTTAATGTTTGAAATTCTAATACTATCCCAGGACGAGCATTACGAGAGTAGTAAACGGTCGTATTCATTGTATACGACTGTAACTCGCCATATTACTTGCCGTCAGAATTACGACCGTATATCGTCGTGTGTACGACTACTGTAAACGATCGTATACAGTTGTATACTATATGGATTGTTATCGTATTTTACGCAAGCTACTACTAGTTCTCTCTCATTCTCGAGAAGTAGAAAACACTATGATTTGGGTGTCCAATCTGGTTGAGGTCTAAACTATTTTATGTATGCAGCTTTGATAATGTATAATCTTATTGTTCCGATATATCATCAAAGCTACATACATAAAATAATTTACACCTCAGCCAGCTTGGACATCTCATTTAATTGGACTGATATACTATTATTTCATTTATTCTTTTGAATAATCTAAAAAATAGAAAAGAAATTTAATCAATCTAAAAGGACAAAAATCAATCTAAATGAAAAAAATTAATCTAGAAGGAAAAAAATTAATCTAAAAACAAAAAGAATTTGTTAAATCTAAAAGTAAAGAGAAAACTTTACTTAATCTAAAATGAAACATAAAATTTATGTAATCTAAAAAAATAACAATATAAAATTTATTTTATCTAAAAGCAAAACAAATTGTTAAGTCTAAAAGTAAAAGAAAAAATTTATTTATCTAAAATGAAATATAAAATTTATGTAATCTAAAAAACAAAAACTAATATTCATTTAATCTGTTAATAACAAAATAAAATCTGTGTAACTTGCAAATAAAAATAACAGAATTCATCAAGTAGTAAATAAATTACGTAATCGAAATATAAATATCAGATCTAATCTAATGCACGATATACCAAATTAAGGCGCTTGAGTCAACAGTTATATTTTAGTTAACGTTATAGGTAGTATTGCTGAAAAGTAATATTTCTGCGTTACAAAATACTTGATTGGTTCAAAGAAAAACGTATTGTAGAGAGTTTTACATAAGGGATATATGTGTCTGGTTTCTCTCAATAGGATGTGAGAAAAAATTCTGAGAAGCAATGAGTGTGGCTCATACTAATAAAAATCACGATTTTTTTAAAAAAAGCAACATTTATTTTCTCTTGATACGAACAGACATAATATAAAGCATCGATCAGTTAATAGAGAGTTGAGTTTCGATGTGCATGTAGATAGGTGTGTATTAATACACCAATTACACTTACACTTTTAACCTTCTATTTCTCCATTTTTCGTGTTAATGAAATGGTGAAATCTGTTTATTTTTTACTTTTCTACATTCATAATATTGAAAATTTTTATTTGTATTTGTTAATCTTGTTTAGAGATAATGTAAATAACAACTCGTTTTTTCTTTTTGCTTTATATTAAAGATACGATAAATCAGATTCTTTTCTATATTGATAATATAGCAACAGAAAGTATTTGTCTTACTTGTTTATGACAATGAGATATAAAAGGCTGACTTTTACTACATGTTTTTCTACATGTTTTTCTACATTGTTGATATGATAAATCTTCAAGTTTGTTTCTTATTTTTCTATACTGATAATAGGGAAAATCTTGATTTTTCGTGCTCTTCTCGATTGATGACATAGAAATATTGAATTCTACATCTAGTTTATCTAAAGAAATGATATAGGAAATACTGAATTCCATTTCTTCTTTTTTTTTACATTAGTTATATTGAGATTGATACTCTTTATTTTCCTGAATTGGTAATAAAGATAAATTTTGTTTTGTTGTCCATTTTTGCATACTATCGATATAAAAGACCTGGTTTTTGAGTTGTCTGTATTGCTATATAGAAAACCCCACTTTGCATTTCTTAGTTTTCTATGTTAGTTATATAAATAATAGTTTGTTTTTATATCTCACTTTTATACATTAATATCATAGAAGACCTTATTTTTTATTTTTTCTGTATTAGGAATGTAGAAAAATAAGAATTCAAATAAAGTGATATCTATATTAACAATATAGACAAGTATGAATTAAAAAATAAGATATTTTTTTATAGTTAATATATAAAAATAGACAATAAAAGGGAGATATTCTAAGTTACCAATATACAACAATAAAAAAAAGAAATTAAGATTTTCTATATTAGTGATATAAAAAGTTAAAAAGTGAGAGTAACTGTTGTCTATATTATCAATCAAGAATAATGCGAAATAAAAATAAAGATTTTATATATTATAACTCTAGAAAAATAAAAAAATTAGAATTAGAATTTTCTATAAGATCAATATAGAAAATGACAAATAGTAAATAAGTTTTTCTAAACTATCAATTTAGGAAAATAAGAAATGAAAATTAAGATTCTTATATTATTGGTATAGAAAAATACCAAATAAAAGTGATTGCTATCTATTTTGTGAATATAGAAAAATAAGAAATAAAAGAAGAGTTATCTATATAATCAATTTAGGAAAATGAAAAGTAGGAATTTCTATATCAGCCACATAGGAGAATAAGAAATATAAATCATCATTTTCTATGTTATCATTTCAAGTAAATAAAGCAGAAAACTAGCCGTTTCTATATCATCAATCTAGAAAAAATATATAAAGACTCTAATTTTCTAGACTATGCATATAGAATATAAAAACAATAAAACTAAGTATTGTCTATAATATCAATGTAGAGAAATATGAATTAAAAAATATAACATTCTGTATCGTTACTTTTGAAAAATGAGAGGTAGACATGGTACTCTGTATGTTGCCTAAATAGAAAAGCAAGACAAAAATACGAATTTCTATACTACCAGTGTAAAAAAAATGAAAAATAATAAATTGAATTTTCTATAATATCAACTGTAGAAAAATAAAATGTAACAGTTGAGATATTCTAAATTATCACTCTAGGAACATAAAAGCACTTTTTTTTAATTTTTAAGTCCAGTAAGATATTTGCTAACATCTTATTATCAATATCTGAGGAAATTTTCAAAAACAAGCATGAACACATAAGATATGATATGATTTTGTGACAATATCATACAGAAAATCTTATAAGAATAAGATGTTATCGGCTGTTGCATGATCTGATGTCAGACCTTTGATCTGGAAACTTACGACTAACCTACGATAGTATATGGTCGTATACTATAATCGTGCGCAGTAGTCGTTTATGTTCAACGTATACAGTGATCGTATTTGAACGTATGACACCGTATACGTTCATCGTACACGATGATCGTGTACGATGGCCGTTTCTGGACGTATTTCTTCGTATACGACTGTTTACTATCGTGCTTTTTCCACCTGGGTACATAGAAATTCATTTTTTGCGACGCTGCCTATTTGATGTAATGACAGTCGTCAATAGAAGTTGATTAGTTTCCATGTGACATTTGAAATGAAACAAATCTTTTTTCTATTTCGAGAAGAAAACCTATTAATTGGAAACAAGACGACTGA